GCTCTACTTGATGAAAAGTCGAGATGAAATTTCTATGGTGGTTCAAAACTTCATGAATATGGTAGATACACAATTTGAGAAAAGAGTTAAGATAATAAGATCTGAAAATGCCAAGGAATACTTTGAACATCATTTGCACAAATTTCTTGAAGATCGGGGCATTATTCACCAGAGTTCATGTAGTCATACTCCACAACAAAATGGGGTAGCTGAAAGGAAGAATAGGCATGTGGTTAAACTTGCTTGAGGTTTACTGTTTCAGACTCATGTTCCCACTCGTTTATGGGGTGATGTTGTTGAGACATCTGTATATCTCATCAACAGGCTTCCTTCAAGGACCCTTAGTCTTCAGTCTCCTCATCAACTTCTCTTTCCCGATGAACCTCTTTTCAATCTCCCCATTAAAATCTTTGGTTGTGTTTGTTTTGTTCATGATATGAGTCCTTTCCGGCGTAAGTTTGATCCTAAATTAGTTAAATGTGTCTTCCTTGGTTACTCTCCTTTCCAAAAAGGCTATAGATTCTTTGATGCTCTCTCTAGCAAGAGATATGTCTCTAAGGATGTTACCTTTTTGGAGTCCTCCTCCTTTTTCCAGTCATTCTGTCATTCTCTTCAGGGGGAGAATGCAAGTGAAGATCGGACTCCCATTTGCCTTCCTGTCCTTGTCTCTTCTAATCCTCCTTCTCCTCCTTCTCTTCCCTATAACGATGGTATTCCTTCTCCTCCTCCTCCTCCTCCTCCTATGTATCGGCTTCGGTCCTGGCAACAGTTTTTCATTAGGCGCAGTAAGAGGGTGGCTTCTGAAGTAGAATGCCCATCACAATCTGATCTCCCAAACTCAGGTAATCTTGAACCTCCTGATATATCTATTACTGATCCTGACCTTGATCTTCCTATTGCCATTCGAAAAGGGAAGAAGGCATGCAACATGTATCCTATTACTAACTATGTGTCTTATGATGCTCTCTCACCTTCCTATTGTGCCTATATTTCTACCATCTCTTCTGTTTCTATCCCTTGTAGTGTTACAGAGGCAATGCAGTCCCCTCATTGGAAGGAAGCTATGAACCAAGAGATGGGGGCCCTGATAAAGAACCAGACTTGGGAGGTTGTTCCTTGTCCTAAGGATAAGACTCTTGTTGGGTGTAAGTGGGTCTACACTGTTAAAAACAAGGCAAATGGTTCAATTGAGAGGTACAAAGCTCGGCTTGTAGCCAAAGGATACACACAAACTTATGGCATTGATTATCTAGAAACCTTTGCTCTAGTTGCTAAAATGAACTCTATTCGTGTGATCATTTCTCTTGTTGCCCATTACTCTTGGTCTTTATATCAAATGAATGTGAAGATGCCTTCCTCAATGGGGACTTACAAGAGGAAGTGTATATGGACTTACCACCTGGGGTGAGATTTCCTAACAGTGAAGGAAAAGTTTGTCGCTTATAGAAGTCCTTGTATGGGCTCAAGCAATCTCCTAGAGCTTGGTTTGACAAGTTCAGAAATGCTATCTTAAAGATTGGGTTTTCTCAATCTCAGGTAGACCACACTTATTCATTAGAAGAGTTAATGGAAGAGTAACAATGTTGATAGTATATGTTGATGACATTGTTGTGATAGGTGACGATATCACAGGTATCTCCCAGTTAGTCCTTCCTTGCTTCCGAATTTGAGATTAAAGACCTTGATAATCTCCGATACTTTCTTGGCATTGAAGTTACAAGATCTAAGAAGGGAATTTTTCTGTCACAAAGGAAATATGTACTTGACTTGCTTCATGAAGTTTGAAAATTAGGGTTTAAACCTGTAGAAACTCCAATTGATCCCAACCACAAGTTGAGTGCTACTGAAGGAGAAGCTTTTCCAGACAAAGGGGTATATCAAAGATTGGTGGGCCGCCTTCTATATCTCTATTTGACTAAACCTGACATATCCTACGGTGTTGGAGTGGTTAGCCAATATATGCATGAAGCTAGGATCTCTCATATGTAGGCAATTAATAGATTTTAGCCTATTTGAAAGGATGCCCTGGTAAAGGGATGTTGTATTCCAACCACAACCATCTAAAGATTGAGGCTTACACAGATGCAAATTGGGCAGGGTCCATTGATGATGGAAGATCAACATCTGGTTATTGTGCATTAGTCGAAGGCAATGCGGTTTCATGGAGAAGCAAGAAACAATCCGTTGTTGCTCGTTCTAGTGCTGAGGCAGAATATAGGGCAATGGCTCATGGAGTGTCTGAACTACTCTGGTTGAAGACCTTATTAGCTGAGATGGGCATCCAAGCGGATATCCCAATGAGACTATATTGTGACAATCAAGTAGCCATAAACATTGCCCACAATCCTATTCAACATGATCATATAAAGCATATTGAGGTGGACAGACATCTTCAGGCATTGCCACTTCTGGGAGATTGTATTGGCAAAGATGATTCAAGTGTTCAAATTGGAGCAGTGATGAGCCATGGCCTCGCATGTGCTAAAGTCCAGAATGAGTCACACTAACCATCTTTCTCTATATTCACTTCTGAACTATTTCTTTTCCACCTGTTTCTGACTAGATATTCTTAACAGGTGAATGTCATGGGCACGTAAAGCAAACTCAGACATGATATGGATTTGAAAGTGGCATAGGTATGTGCTTGTTGTAGAATGTCTACAATCCAAAATTTTATCATTTTTGGAAAATAATGTTAGTTGGTTATGGAGACGTCCATAATATCCTTGGGCCTTACGGGTGCAGGCACCAAGAATGCTCGAATTGTGGGCATATTGCACAAGCTTTTAGGGTATTAATATAAGGAAGCTGGTCCATTGTTCGGCATAGGCTTCTCATTCCTCCGCTTCATTTGGTGTTCTCTTGTGGTTGTGTGGGTTACTAATTTGCTTGGGTTATATGTGTAGTTTTATCTTGCTTGAGGTCTTACTACTTTGGGGAAGGGCTTTCCCACTAATGCGCCTTACCATTGTTTCCGGTTTTCAATAACAATGTAAGTATAGGACACATTTCATGCTTAATGGATTTCTGTTTACATTTTATTTCGTGGGGTAAGTGCTAACTGTTTCTCATTAAGCTTTAAGAGGTGGCTCAACTGGAAGTTGGCCTCCATTCAAGATAGGGTTATCAATGGGTGGGGTTCGGGTCTAGTCTAGGTAGAAGCACTCCCGAACCAATAATTAATCAAGACAAAATCATAGACCCAGAACCATCCTTGTGAACTTAAAATTTAGGTTTAAACAATAACATATGTTAAAAATCGAACCAGTTAAACTTAAAGTCACTTTTCTTATTTAAATGGTAACCTAAAATTAAAATTTTGATCATATGACTTTAATAAAATTGATAGAAAAATTCTAAATTATGGTAACATTTATCTATCTATCCATCATATTTGACACTTTAAACCTATAATATGATAAAAAAATGTAAGAAAATGAAGGAAATATTATATATAGCTAACAAAATAATTGGTTTGAGTATTAATCCGTTTGGGAGGGGTGAGACCAAAACCAACCCAATTATTAATTCTGACATAATCACGGAAGCGAAACCTTTATAATTGGCTCAGTCTGTTCGGGCCCATTGTGTAGACCTAAATCGTTGACAGCCCTTCCAAGAAATAGAAGATGGGATGGCTGATGCTGCAACAAGGTTGGTATCTCTTTTTCTTCTCCATTGGGATCTGCTCTTCTAGGTAAGGACCTTTCTAACCCATACTCAATTCAAGCTTTTGCTATTGTAGCATATGATTATGTCGTGCAATGTTGATTTTGGACTCGCACAAAATAATAAATACTTCTAAAGCAATTTCAGCCTTGTCATTGCAGGCGCATTCTTATGAGTTCACATTGCCAATTGTGGTATCAGGATTGACTACGATCGTGTAAGCCAATGTTATTTGTATATGCTAAAACTTTTTTAAAGGACTGCCATTTCTTTATTGTCATTGTTGTCCTTGCAATTTTTCTTAGTTTTTAAACTCATCTAGACATCTTCAGGCATTGGAACTTCTGGGAGATTGCATTGGTGAAGATGATCCAAGCTTTCAAATTGGAGCAGTGATGAACCATGCCCTCGCATCCAGTGGAGCCTAGAATGAGCTAGAATAACCAGCTTCCTCTATATTCACTTCTTGAACTATTTTTTTCTCCACCTCTTTTTGACTGGATTTTTTTTACAAGTAAATGTCATGGGCACGCAAAGGAGACTCAAACGTGATACGGATTCGGAAGTGGCATAGGTATGAACTTCTGTTTCTCTCTTAGAATTACTGCATGTTGGATTTGGCAACAGAAATATACCCATAGAGAATGGAATTTGTATAATCTTCCGAAAACAATCACCAGAAATAGAATTTCTGAAATTCTAGTAGCTCTTCATCGTAAATTCATAAAATACACGATAAGGATAAAGTTAAGCAATAGTTGACAATGGTTTCTTGGCTGTTTCATTTAGGATAATTTTTCCATCTAAATGCACCACAACCCAGCCCACTTCAACCAAAGTTCTGGTGAGATGAAAAGTTTTAAAAGCCCTGGTAAACTCAGACGGATAATAGTCATGTATGAAGTTTGAGGTAACTAGGTGTCATGGCTCACGTCTGCTTCTCTTCCGAAATCAGCATATGAAAAACATGCGGGCAACCATTTCCAGCAACAGTAGATGATATT